GCCACACATGTCGCTGCCATTTTTGGGAAAATTCGATTCGTGCATCCGAAGTTTGCTAATTTTTCGGATTCGGCGCGAATCGAATATTTCCTAATCTTCGAAAAGAATTCCACTTCGTCATGTTCGATTCGCTCATCTCTAGTCAGGACCTCCTGAACCATTGATCATTAATGGAGATGAGGAATTTGAGGTTGAGGCCATCTTAGACTACAGATGAAGAAGGGGTCAGATACAATACTGCACAGTGACTGGTCTCTGTTCTGAATGAACCCCATTTACAACCACAATCTGGTATCCATCCTTTAGCCAATTGTATATCCACTGAACAACCCAAGTCCTAGTTTTTACAACTTTTGTAGAAGATCATTATGTGGAATCGTAATTATGATATGCCCACAGCACCACCGTGGTCCAAAACATTGGTAATATAGTCAAAACATTCAATAAAATTAGTCTGACATGATCTGCCCTTAAAAACATTCAACTTGCTGGACTCAAAGCAGCATGGTTTTTCTAAGTGATCAATGATCCTTCTTTTCAGGAGTAATTCCATTAACTTTACTACAACCAGTGTTAAAGTGGTTGTAAACCTCAGTCATGAAATCTGAACAAAGTATATATATCTGTAGTGTTTGCTTGTCTATCTCAAAAGCTCTAAATGTTGTTTCTCTCTGGTGCTTCCTTCCGCTGTTATGAGCACAAGTCACTTCTGAGAAGTTTTCCTGACACTAGATAAATTTGTGTTGGGGAGGAGGGGAGAGCTCAGCAGACAGCTTGTCTATACAGAACATAGCTCCTGTGTGCTGTGTGAAGGGGGAAGTGTTCCTTTCCTTCAATCAGGTCTCACAGACGTCTAACTGCAGCTCCCTGCCCCCCACCTCTGTGATACTGACAAATGCAGAATGATTTTACCGAAAAGATGCCCTTTTGAAGGGATGTAGAAAAGAGAAGGTGCCGCGTCCTTATTTTGTACCCATGAATAAATAAATAGAATCAATATTTAAATATTAATTAAATATTTAAAAAATAAATTATTACCCTTAATCAGAATGTAAAATGTGCAATTCATTATTATAAAAATGTGATTCATTATTATAGGAAAAAAAAAAAAAAAAAAAAAAAAATTATATATATATATCAAAAAAATTAAATAAATAAATCCAAGTTAAATAAATGAATCAAAAATATATATACTGGAAAATAAATTAATACCTGTCCAATGTAGGTGAAAGTCCAGTCATAAGTGGGATCCCATCGGAATGGGACTGTTCACTATAACTTACTGTTCACATAATTCCAGATAAAAGATGCTCAAAATAAAATAAGTTACTTGGTGTATTCTTCTATGAGTAGCAGACTGAAAGGTTCTCCTCTTTGCTCCTACTATTCTGCTCTAAATGGATCCTGGGTGAGGTCCTCCCTCCAACAGATGTTATTTGTTTTTCTCCAGATATAAAAACATCAAATCGCTTTAAGTGTATACTGTGTCCAGCCTGAGCGGCGTGTGGACACACACTTCCTGTACTCGCCGTGCATAGGAGTCGGGTATGTGGTGACGTCAGTGCCCCCTCCCCAACGCGTTGCGCCACAGGGTCACATGGCTTCGTCCGGGGGATGTGATTGGACGAACACACCCTGCAATGACTCCTTATATAGTCTCCGGCGCCATTTTCTCGTAGCCCTTATTATTTAGTTTATATTTACATTTTATATTTTTGGAAAAATTTGATTATATTATCTGATTGTATTATTGTATAATTTTTACCCAATGTAATAATCCATAAGATGATGGGTTAAAAAGTGTAGGTTGTGTATATATGTATTAATTAAAAAGGCCATACAGCGTGGCGAACAAAAACACACACAGCCTGAAAAGCCGTAGGGTACGTGGCCAAACACATAGATAGAATAACACTCTTATATTCAGGTTAAACCGTCACCAGCAGACTCTCATTATCTAATAGCACTAAACTATATACAGCGGAGCGAATAAGGGCTACGAGAAAATGGCGCCGGAGACTATATAAGGAGTCATTGCAGGGTGTTCGTCCAATCACATCCCCCGGATGAAGCCACGTGACCCTGTGGCGCAACGCGTTGAGGAGGGGCACTGACGTCACCACGTACCCGACGCCTATGCACGGCGAGTACAGGAAGTGTGTGTCCACACGCCGCTCAGGCTGGACACAATACACTTAAAGCGATTTGATGTTTTTATATCTGGAGAAAGCAAATAACATCTGTTGGAGGGAGGACCTCACCCAGGATCCATTTAAGCAGAATAGTAGGAGCAAAGAGGAGAACCATTCAGTCTGCTACTCATAGAAGAATACACCAAGTAACTTATTTTATTTTGAGCATCTTTATCTGGAAATTATGTGAACAGTAAGTTATAGTGAACAGTCCCACTGCGATGGGATCCCACTTATGATTTGACTTTCACCTACATTGGACAGTTATTAATTATTTATTTATTTTCCAGCATATATGTTTTTGATTCATTTATTTATTTAACTTGGATTTATTTATTTAATTTTTTGATATATATTATATATATTTAATTTTTTTTTTTTTTTAATTTCCTATAATAACGAATCACATTTTTATAATAATGAATTGCACATTTTACATTCTGATTAATTAAGGGTAATAATTATTTAAATATTGATTCTATTTATTTACTCATGGGTACAATATAAGGGCGCGGCACCATTTTTATTTTTAAATTGTCGTTTTCAGTACATATAATGAGGATGTAGCTAGGAGCCTGCGAACTTATTCTATACTAAATATTTGTAGTGGCTCACAGGACATTCCTATCTTAGAAAAAAGAAGACTGCAGATAACAAGTAAAACATATGTAGGAGGATTTGTTTAACCTCTATGTATCACCTTAGGCTATTCACTTTACTGGGTATAGAAGAGTGTTTTACACCCATTTTAATCTTACTGGCCCTAAATTGCCAGTTTCCACTTGTTGCCCTTCCTGTGGATAGGTACAATATTAGCTGTCCACCAGTCATGCGGAGCTTTATTAAGCTTTAATCGAGCCAGATCCTCTGCTATCTCTGTCTCCAGAAATCCTAAAAACAAACTATCATTACAAAAACCAATATGGTTCTTCAACGTATTCTTGCTAGTACAATTTATTTCTGAGAAGACTGAATAGAAGTAATTGTTTAAATGGTTTGCTACATCCAGGTCTCCCTCAACAAAAGTGTTTTGCCCAGTTTTCATTTCAGTGATCCCATTATATGATTTCCTTCTATTGCTGATGTACCTAAAACAATTTTTTTCTCCTTTCTTAATAAATTTAGCAATTTCCTCCTCTTTCTGTGCTTTGGCAACACTGTTGAGTGTCCATAACAAAAGGTCAAAAATTCTCCCACTCAATCCAAATAAAAAAATGTTTTTTTTTTACGTACCTGTAAAATCCTTTTCTTGAAGTGCAGTGCTGGACACAGGTTTGCATTAATCAAGACCATGAGCTATATGCTGCCACCTTCAGGTGAGAACACTGGCAAACTGGTTAGGACAGCCCATAACCACTCCAAATCCTAGCAATCTTCAGACTTTACTAAAAGGATACGTCAGGACAGAGGGAGCGTGGCCTGTGTTTAATACTGTGCTCAGGTAAGCAGAAATTCTTATTTCCTATATTGTGCAGTACAGGACAAAGGATCCTTTAGTTTTCACCATGGGGCATCCCTAATCAATACAACTGCGGGGTGGGCAACACCACAAACAATGCCAACAAGCTCAAAATAATGGAATCAGGTTTTTAACTCTAGGAACACCTTATGGCCCAGCTGGCATCAGCAGAGGCCTGGACATCCACCTGGTAAAACAAAAATCTGTAAAGAGAGGACCAGGTGACAGCCATTCAAATCTGAGAAAAAAATCACCCGGTGTTGAAAAGCCCAAGATGCACCTACTGAGCGAGTTGAGTGAGCCTTAAAGGATAAAAGAGGATTCAGATTGTTCAAGGCATATGCCTTAGTGATAACCTGCCTAATCCACCTACCCGATGCAGCCCCTGCAAGAACCTGTAGGCAGGACAAACAGAAAATCTTAGGTTCACATGGCAGCAGTGGCTGAAACATAACTTGCACTGAAAACATCATGGATCAGTTTACATACTAGCCAGCAAACTACAGATCTTCAAACAGCATCTAAAGCAGTGGTTCTTAACCTTGTTGGAGGTACTGAACCCCACCAGTTTCATATGCGCATTCACCGAACCCTTCTTAATTGGAAAAATAAAATATGATTTTTAAAATTCAAAACATAGGTATATATTTAGGTATATATTTATACATAGGTGCACAAAATGAACAAAACCATTAAAACATGATTTTCACACAAAAACAAAAACATAATAATGAATATTTACTGCACGAATCATATGAGTCGGGTGTGGTTCTTCACCTCCGCCGAACCCGCGAGACTGACTCACCGAACCCCTGGGGTTCGATCGAACCCAGGTTAAGAACCACTGATCTAAAGGTTTTTATTGAACAATGACCACATCACTGCAAAGAAGTGCAATGTTTTGAAGCCACGCAGAACCTTTTCATCAGGCACATGGACAGGGTCGTAATTACCACAAGGCAAACAAGGCATTTGCCTAGGGCAGCATTTTTTAGGAGGACAGAACTGCCCCCTCGAAGAAGGGACATATGCGGCATGGGGAACAGGTGGGATCCAACAGAGGCTGCGGGCTGCTTGACGGTGCATGCAGAGCCCAACTGACATTCCCGGGGATGTCCAGAGCTGTGAAGGTGAGGGTCTCTCTCTCTCTGTCACAGTGGAAGGCTTTCTTGAGCGGGGGGAATGGGACAGGGGTGTTGTTGGTCACTGTCAGGCTCTCTCCATTTTTATTAAATAGATGGGTGTGATCATGTTATCCTACACTACACACACACACACTATTGGCAAGAGTAAAAGTAAATCATTGGATTCAGGCGTTTCAATCACATCCATGGTCACAGGTGTATACAATTAAGCACCTAGACATGCAGACTGCTTCTACAAACATTTGTGAAAGAATAGGTCTCTCAGGAGCTCAGTGAATTTAAGCGTGGTACCGTGATAGGTTGCCAACTGTTCAGCAAGTCCATCTGTGAAATTTCCTTGCTACTAAATATTCCAGGGTCAACTGGTATTATAACAAAGTGGAACCAACTGGGAACAATTGCAACACAGCCACAAAGTGGTAGGCCACGTAAAATGACAGGGCGGGGTCAGAGCATGCTGAAGTGCACAGTGCGCAATAGTCGCCAACTGTCTGCAGAGTCTATCAGTGTGTAGAGAGCTGCATGGAATGGGTTTCCATGGCCGAGCAGCTCCAAGTGCAATGCAAAGCATCAGATGCAGTGGTGTAAAGCATGTCACCACTGCACTCTAGAGCAGTGGAGACATGTTCTCTGGAGTGAGAAATCACGCTTCTCTGTCTGACAATTCAATGGCCATGCCTGGGTTCGGCAGTTGCCAGGAGAACGGTACTTGCCTGACTGCATTGTGCCAAGTGTAAAGTTTGGGGGAGGGGGATTATGGTGTGGGGTTGTTTTTCAGGGGTTGGGCTTAGCCCTTTAGTTACAATGAATAGAACTCTTAAGGAGTCAGCTTACCAAGACATTTTGGACAATTTCATGCTCCCAACTTTGTGAGAACAGTTTGGGGATGGCTCTTTCTTGTTCCAACATGACTGCGCACCAGTGCATAAAGCAAGGTCCATAAAGACATGGATGAGCGAGTTTGGGGTGGAGGAACTTGACTGGCCTGCACAGAGTCCTGACCTCAACCCAACAGAACAACTTTGGGATGAATTAGAGCAGAGACTGCGAACCAAGCCTTCTCGTCCGACATCAGTGCCTGACCTCACAAATGCGCTTCTAGAAGGCAATTATCTTTAACTTAAAAGTGATTCAAGCAGCTATATATATGCCTAATATCTTTTCAGGCAATGGAAGGGGATCCTTTTCACTCCCGTCGCCTCTCTGTTCCTGGCTACAGCTCCTCAGGCTCTCTCAGGGAACCCTCCCACCATGAACCTTTCGGTACACCCCATGCCAGGATACCAACACTTGCTTGGACCCCACACATCAATGTGAGGCAGTGCAGACACAGCTGGTTTTGGATGTCTAGTCCTTTCCTGCCACAGAAGTTCTGATGAAAGCAGGCATGGACACTGACATTCACCTACTGGCCCCAGCCACACAGGCTTCCACTGGGAGCTCTCCTTCATTGAGTTTGTCAGCTCTTCCTCCACTGGGACAGGAGCACCCGACACAAAGTAATCCTGATGCCTTGCATCATCCCTTCAGTCAACAGGATTTTGGCAGGAAAAAACAGAATATGGCAAACTCTCTCCCGATGGTCATCTGGCATCCCCTGTCACTTAACTTAAAACACATCAGGCTCCACCACTGTCATGAAAGTGCAGATCAGATAGCTATCAGCACGAAGCCAGCAGGGAGGCATTTGCTCACAAGCAATTATCAGGGGACAGCAAAAACCCCACCTGGGACTTCCTTTTTTGTTGATCCACTCCCCTCTACCTACGGTATATTCATGCTCAGGGTGCTCCTCTCCATGAGAGACCCACTGAGATTACCCTATCTTCATCCACCCAACCACAGACCAACCAAAACACATCTCTGCTTGGCTTCTGTACATCCTGCTGCCTTGGCCGCAGCCCCTGCCAAGTAACAGCACAAGCTTCAACCATTAGAGAGCGTAAGAGACACATGGAGGACTTGGACAATAGAGAATGTCTAAATATTAGGGTCCGGGGACTCCCTGAGCTCACTCAAGGCAAAGACATTAAACAACATCCAGGACCACCCCATGACCCAACCAATCAAACTTGACCGTGCACACAGAGCCCTCTGTCCCCCTGGCCTGCATCCAGACCAAGGGATGTATTATAGTAGGTTTGTGATTTCTCCTTGAAGGAAGAGATTGTGAGTATAGCCAGAAATATGCAGTTAATAGAGGATGATGGTACTGAACTAAAACTCTTTCCAGACCTGCCCTAGATCACTCTCCAGCAAAGATGCACTCTACAGCTGTTGATCACTATGCTACACAATCACTCCATTCTGTATAGATGGGGATTTTGGTTTGTTTTTTTAAATATATTTTATCAGTTTCAACGTTACAAAATAGATCACATTACTAATATCGGTACAAAAAAACATTTTCTTATACATATTTTCTCCAATACCCTCCCTCCGTAACCCCAACCTCCCCCCTACCCAAGCCCCCTTTATCAACTCCCATTTTTTTTCCCTTTTCTTCCTATTCCTCCTATCCCTCCTGTACTTGCTGTAACTTAATTCTCCTCCTTCCTTTCCTCCTACCTTTTAAGATATACTTTCTTCTCTTTGTTCTCTACTCCTACTAGCTCCAACGCATCTTTTTGAACTTTTAAACTTGTTCCATTTTCCCATGTTTTTTTAAATTTATCCATTTTAACTTCTACAATATGGTAGAGTTCCTCTATCCTATATGTGCAATCCACCCTATTTATCCAGTCTTATTTCTGGTGCCTCTTGTGCTTGCCAAAATTTAGGTATCAATCCCTTTGTCTGCGTTTATTAAATAGATTATCATATTCTTATATTTTTCCAATGAAAACTCAGTTTTATGGAATAAACATACACATGGATCCTTTGAGATATAAGTCCAATAATCTCCTGTATTTGGCAAGTTATATACTCCCATTACTCCTGTATCTTGGGGCAATCCCACCATATATGTGCCATTGTGCCTTTAATCCCATACCCCCTCCATCACATAGGTGACTTCTCTACTTGTTTTCTTATGTGCCACACTAGGTGTAAGACATCATCTTGCTAAACATTTATAATTCATTTCCACAACCTTCATTTCTACAGCTCCATGTGTTAATCTGAATATTTTCTTTGTTTGCTGTTCGTTAAATGATTTTCCAAGTTGTGTTTCCCACTTCTCCATATACGGTAGATAAGTGGGTCCTACTATTGCAGTAAGGATCTTATAAATACGGGAGGTACGTTTCCATATCTTACTTGCACTAAACAGTTGTTCAAATGAATTCAAATCCTCCATTGTCCTTCATGGCTGTGGGAGCATTGCAGCAAAGTGTCTTAGTTGAAAATATCGCCATTCATCTAACATAAAAAACAATTTCTGTTTATTTTTTAATTCTTGAAAGGAGCATATTTCTCAATTTTTCATTATATCTTTTAACTGTGTGTTCCCATTTTTTATTCATTTACCAAAAAAATTTGTTCCACCAGCAGTATTAACGGTGAATTATGCTCCCAACTCATTTGTTTATAAATTACATTCTATATCCTAATTACCGTATTTTCCGGCGTATAAGACGACTGGGCGTATAAGAAGACCCCCTACTTTTCCTGTTAAAATATAGGGTTTGGGCTATACTCGCCGTATAAGACTACCCCTCTTCCAACGAACACCAAATAAAAATTAAAAAACATCAGATTTGATTTCAATATGGTATGGTATCTCAGTATGGTATTCCAATGATGGGGTGCTATTTCTCCCACTGACACCAATGATGGGGCACTATTCCTCCCACTGACACCAAATGGTGGGGCACTATTCCTCCCACTGACACCAATGATGGGGCACTATTCCTCCCACTGACACCAAATGGTGGGGCACTATTCCTCCCACTGACACCAATGATGGGGCACTATTTCTCCCACTGACACCAATGATGGTGTCCCATCATTAGTGTCAGTGTGAGGAATAGTGTCCCATCATTAGTGTCAGTGGGAGGAATAGTGCGCCATCACTGGTGTCAGTGGGAGGAATAGCGTCCCATCATTGGTGTGAGTGGGAGGAATAGCGTCCCATCATTGGTGTCAGTGGGAGGAATAGCGTCCCATCATTGGTGTCAGTGGGAGGAATAGCGTCCCATCATTGGTGTCAGTGGGAGGAAATAGCGTCCCATCATTGGTGTAAGTGGGAAGAATCGTGCTCCATCCTTGGTGTCAGTGGGAAGAATCGTGCCCCATCATTGGTGTCAGTGGGAGGAATAGCGTCCCATCATTGGTGTCAGTGGGAGGAATAGCGTCCCATCATTGGTGTCAGTGGGAGGAATAGCGTCCCATCATTGGTGTCAGTGGGAGGAATCGTGCCCCATCATTGGTGTCAGTGGCAGGAATAGTGCCCCATCATTGGAATCAGTGGCAGGAATAGCGCCCCATCATTGGTATCAGTGGCAGGAATAGCGCCCCATCATTGGTGTCAGTGGGAGGAATAGGGTCCCATCATTGGTGTCAGTGGGAGGAATAGCGTCCCATCATTGGGATCAGTGGGAGGAATAGCGTCCCATCATTGGTGTCAGTGGGAGGAATAGCGTCCCATCATTGGTGTCAGCGGGAGGAATAGCGTCCCATCATTGGTGTCAGCGGGAGGAATAGCGCCCCATCATTGGTGTCAGCGGGAGGAATAGCACCCCATCATTGGTGTCAGCGGGAGGAATAGCGCCCCATCATTGGTATCAGTGGCTGGAATAGTGCCCCATCATCGGTATCAGTGGCAGGAATAGTGCCCAATCATCATCAGTGGGGGGAGGTATGCCCCAGTCAGTGGGGGGAGGAATAGTGCCCCATCGTTGGTGTCAGTGGGGGGGAGGAATAGTGCCCCATCATTAGTGTAGTGGGGGGGGGAGGAATAGTGCCCCATCATTAGTGTCAGGGGGGGGGGGGGAGGAATAGTGCCCCATCGTTGGTGTCAGCGGGGGGGGGGGGGGGAGGAATAGTGCCCCATCGTTGGTGTCAGTGGGGAGGAGGAATAGTGCCCTATCGTTGGTGTCAGTGGGGGGGAGGAATAGTGCCCCATCGTTGGTGTCAGTGGGGGGGAGGAATGGTGCCCTATCGTTGGCGTCAGTGGGGGGAGGAATAGTGCTCCATCGTTGGTGTCAGTGGGGGGGGGGGGAGAGGAATAGTTCCCCATCGTTGGTGTCAGTGGGGGGGAGAGGAATAGTGCCCCATTGTTGGTGTCAGTGGGGGGGGGGAATAGTGCCCCATCATTAGTGTCAGCGGGGGGGGGGAGGAATAGTGCCCCATCGTTGGTGTCAGCGGGGGGGGGGGGGGGGGAGGAATAGTGCCCCATCGTTGGTGTCAGTGGGGAGGAGGAATAGTGCCCTATCGTTGGTGTCAGCGTGGGGGAGGAATAGTGCCCCATCGTTAGTGTCAGCGGGGGAGGGGGGGGGAGGAATAGTGCCCCATCGTTAGTGTCAGCGGGGGGGGAGGAATAGTGCCCCATCGTTAGTGTCAGCGGGGGGGGGGGGGGAGGAATAGTGCCCCATCGTTGGTGTCAGTGGGGAGGAGGAATAGTGCCCTATCGTTGGTGTCAGTGGGGGGGAGGAATAGTGCCCCATCGTTGGTGTCAGTGGGGGGGAGGAATAGTGCCCCATCGTTGGCGTCAGTGGGGGGAGGAATAGTGCTCCATCGTTGGTGTCAGTGGGGGGGGGGGGGGGAGAGGAATAGTGCCCCATCGTTGGTGTCAGTGGGGGG